GCCTCTCAAAGTCTGATCTTTCTGACGGCAGTCAAGATGCTCACGGTTTGAGAGAGTCTGCCGCTGCTCTGATGGGATACTTTCGTAAAGGTGGCGATCGCAGTCAATGGACGGTTTCCGCTGGCGGTGTTGCTGACGCGTTCTTGGCCAGCTGCCGACGTACTTCGGTTGTGGAAGGACAGGTCGGGCGTGCCAGTTGCAGAGGCGTCGCAGAGTGGAGCGGCGCAGTCAACACTGGGACCTGCGTACGCTGCTGAAGTCGACTGGCTCTTTAGGACAAGCTGGAACGCGGCTGTTGAATTGGCACAGAACCCACGCGCAGAGCCAGAGCTTGTCGGTGATCTGTTTGAGCTTGTTGCGTCGGTGCTTGGATTGCTGCCAGATCGAACGCTATCCCACATGCACAGTGAAAAGTCGTGGTAAGGAGGCAGGCACTCGCAGTTGAGGCAAGCTGAGCAGCGGGATCTAACCGGCCTGCCTTGGCTGGTATTGTTAGTCTGTTTGTGGCAGCATTGGCGCGAATGTCAGTGGCAAGAGAAAGCGACACCAAAGCGGCCATCAAGCATCTGGACAAGACCGCAGAGTTGTTGCTGCGGTTTCGTGCTGTCGTACAGGCGCTTGGCGGCATGGCCGATTCTGATGGTCCTGCGGTATCGTCTTCATGCAAGATGGATCCAGCAGCAGTGCAAGCGCTTGTCCTTGAATTTGAACTGCGATTGCGGCGCCAAGAGTGGGACGCTGCAGAGCAGATACGCCAGGTATGGCATCCTGTGCTTGACACAGATGCGCGGGTGTCTTACTTTGTGGACGGCATACCGCAGCGTGCACAGGACGAAGCCGTGCCTGCCGGCATACTTGAGCGCTTGTCAGGTAAAGTACGGCTTGCCAAATGCCAGCGACACGATAGGCTGACAATGCCCATCAACAGATCTGGTGCTCAGACTCGATTGTCCTGATACGCGTGAGCCATCCATTATGGGACCCTGCTTCGCTCACATGAGCATCAGACTAACTCTGATCCTTTTAGTCGCGTTCTCTACAATCAAGATGGCGCTGGACGCGCAGCTGCGACAGGCTCACCGTCTGGATATTGTGCAGTTTGCGCGCTGGTTCCGCGTGCTGGTGCGGACCGGTCTTTGGTCAGAGTCCACAAGCATACCCTTGTTCGAGCAGGCTCTTGCACTGATCAAGTCGACGAGACAAACGGCACGTTCTGCTGTCTGTATCGACTCTGCTTTGACCTGCACAGGCATGCCTTGCTGCATGTTGCTGACATTTGCAACGCTTTGCTGAGCAGGCAACGCCGTATCCAACAGACGAGATCAAGTGGCTCATGGCAACGGCATGGAATACTGGCTGTGAGCAGTGGAGGTAAGGAGTGCCAGAGACCGCCTGGCTGATGCTCTGCCATGCTAAGCCGCGTACATTGCGAGTACAGTGTGCACCATTGGCAGGGAGCTCAGAAGTGGTGCGAGATGGCGCTGTCGCTGAGCCTGTACTTGCCTGCAAGCGATGCGGATCCAGGCACACTTGCCCACATGCGCACAGCCTACCAGGCGCTTATTGACGAACAGCAGCAGCAGCAGCAGCTGAGCCACCTGCTCCCAAAATGAACAGCGTCCTTCCACTCGTTTCCAACATCAGAGATGATCGTGGTCAAGGCCGTTGCTGTGGCCAAGGATGGCTCGCACGAGATCCGCCGCATGCCCATGGCCCGTCTGCCAGGCGAACTATCGTACGACGAGGTGTGTCCACCAACCTGACTAGCCACCTTCCGGGCCGCCCGCATCCCCGCCTGTGCGATAAGAGCTGCGTGCTCACATCCGTCCGTCCATCTCCACGATGCCTTGGCCAGCTGTGCATCATGCTGCATCGCCTGTTCAAGAAGCACGTTGCAAACGTCGACGACCTGCTGCTCAAGTACATTGACGATGGCGAGTGCACCTCTCTTCTGTCGCTGCCTCTGCTTCTGCTTCTGCCTCTGTGCCTCTTCCTCTGCGAAACCCGCTGGTCTGCTGGACTGACCCCTCGCCGCATCTCGTGAACCCTGGCTTGGTCTGCACCAGACGGCGACAGCGTTTGTCTCGACTCTGACATTGGTGAGTGGCTCTGCCGTTTGCCTTGCGTACCTGCTGCACGGCATCATGCGAGGCTCGCCTCTCATCCTCTCTCTCTCTGCCAGACATCAGCCATGCGCTTTCCCTGAACAATGTCCTCAAGGTCTTTGTCTACGGTCCGTTTGTTCTGCTCTGCTTGGCTTGCTGTGCCACATGACAAACGTGATCTGACCAAGCCTGATTGTGCACAATGCATTGCACAGACAAAAACCGGCCGCCGACTTCGATGCCCATGCCAAGCGTCGACGTAGCCCTCAAGCTGGACGCATCCCACAGACAGTCCTTGCGTGATATTGCCCTTTCTCTGCAGTCGTCGGTCAACACGCTCTTGAAGGCCATTGACGATGCTGCCTCCGCTGCTGGACCTGCCCCTGGATCTGCCCCTGGATCTGCCCCGCTTAAAGTCGCAGTCACTGAAACTAAGGCACTCAAGTCAGCCGAGATTGGTACGAGCCATGCCGCTCAACCTATCACGGCACTACACGGCAAACACTGACGCATGGTGTCCATTGCAGCCGAGTTCCTGCCACCGCAACCGCAGCAGCCTCAACAACAGCAGCAACAGTCTCAACAGCCATCGCAGCCACAGCAGCAAACTCAGCAGCCATATGCCCAGCAATCGCCGCCGCATGTCCATCAGCAAATCCCACCGCAAGCGCCTCAGATGCAGCAGCAGCCGCCACAGCAGCTCCAGCAACAGCCTGGACAGTACTACGCTCCTCCATCCAGTGCACCACCACACCCGTCGACCCTGCCGCGTCCCCAGCCACCTCAGCAGCAACTCGCGCCGCCTTCGCCATACGCGCCTGCCTATCCAGCACAGCAGCCGTACCCTCAACAGCAACAGCAGCAGCAGCAGCAGCAGCAGCAGCCAGGTTATACACCAAGTGGATATCCTTCTCAGCAGCCCCAGCCAGGACCGCCGCCGCAGACTCAGCAGCAGCCTCCGCAGTACTATCAGCCGCCTCCACCGCAGCAGCCACAGCCACACCAACCGCAGACACCACAGCCATACTCGCAATACAGAGTGTGAGAGCGCTCGCTTCAACCGCACACCTTCCATTCACTGGTTGTCACAGTAACAGCATTGAAGAGCCATCCATGAACATGAGCTTGCAGTTTCTGACAGACAGTGCACAGTCGTACAATGCTGCCAATGTTCTGATATGGACGGGTCACGCTCAGATCTACAGTGGCCTGCTTGAACTGACCGTTGGACATCAGCTCAACCGCGCTTGTGGCGAGCGACGCGGCCGGCGAGCTTGGCTTGGCCTCGGACATCGTGACCGGACCGCGCGGCGTGTTGGCGACGAGTTGGCCGTCCTCGCCGAAGCTCCACTCTGCCTTGACGGCCTCGAGCCACGGCAGGCCCAACACGAGGTCGTGGTGCTTGTCGATCGGCGCCACGAACGCGTTGAGGTGGCCCAGCGGCTGGCCGTCGCGAGTCTGCGGACTGAACTCGCAGAACTCGGTCAGCATGATGTCGTCCGACCCGTCGCCCAGGCGTAGCGGCACGCCGTGTGGCATCTTGTGCGTCTTGACCAGCCCCAGGTCGGCCAGCTGGCGATACAGACGCAGGCCGACAAAGTTGGCGCCGGCACCAGAGTCGCCCCGTGCAGTGGCGGGCACTGAGCCAATGGATACCGCGAAACGACGCAGCGTGCGAGCCGATGGTGCAAAGTCGAGCTTGAAGAGCGGGGTGCTGGGTCTGCCAGCAACAGCGTCGGCAAACGAGCGCTTGGGCAGCGGTGCCGGCGGGCATGACGGTTTTGGGCTAGGCTGTGCAGATACCGGACATGGTAGTGGGGTCTCGTTGATATTGCCTTCATTCGCATCACGAGAACTTCCATGCCGGCCCCATCAGTGCTGGATCTCTTTTGGCAGGAACGAGTGCTTGAAATCCTCCAAGAAGTCGTCGACTTGGATGGACCCAAAGCGGCGGATGTGGCGATCCAGCCACTGTCCGGCAGCGTTGGTGAAAGCCGGGAGCAGCAGGGCTTGGAGCTCGTCGCTGCTGGCGTCGTCATACAGCCGAAACAGTATCCTCAGGCGTCGCAGAAAGTCGGCAGTGGCACCGAGAGCGTTTGGCGTGCCCTTGAATGTGCCGAGCGTGAACCGACGACGGATCTCGCGACGACGCTCGTCCTTTGAGGCGACAGCCGAAGACGACGACGAGGGCGGAAGCAGCTGTGGCTGCTGCGAGGCTTGGACGGCGGCAATGGCCCGGCAGCCAGCGTCGATGGCGGCGGCCATCAGTGTCGACTTGGTCGCGCCTTGCATCCTGGCGGCAGTCCACACAGCGTTGTTGACAGCATGGCCGAGTGGGGATGCGAGACTGATGGCCATGGCCAGCGAGGCATCAACCATGGCATCGACCGGAGCGTCCTCGGACTTGGACGTATCGACGAGCTTCTCGAGGAAGGCAGCCAGCTGCTCGGCAGCTGACGCGGCAGGGGCGGGGGCGACGCTTGAGGCAGAAGCGTTGAGCGTGGTGGTCATGGCAGAGACCCGATTGGCAGTGCTACCAATGTGGCAGCTGCTTGTGCAGTGTCACTCAACAATGCTGGTAGCAAAGTGACGAGCACGAGCGTGCAGGACGGGACTGCTATTGAAAGAGGTCCCAGATCTGACAGGAGTTCCTTTGCAAGATTCCAGAATGTTCCCAGATGTGGCCGTGCACCACGTTTGCAGCGCGTTGCAGGCGGAACCTGGGTGATCGTTCTGACCCTCGACAACTGCTGGCAGGCAGCAGTTGTTGGAAGATGGCGTAATCCCAGACCAACTTTCCAAACAACCAAATGCTCACGCGTCGCGTTCCAATCCAGATGGGATGCACAATGCTCGGGAATGTGATGCACATGCTCGAAAACAACCTCAACAGGTGGTTTCATGGTGTAGTCGGTTATCACACCTGTTTAACACACAGGAGGTCTCCGGTTCGATCCCGGATGAAACCATTTTGCTCCATCAGACAACTTGCTGCGGCATCACTTTTGCATCTCACAACTCTGAGGCTCCATTGCTGCCACTGCCCTCCTTCCATGCTCCGTCTGTCTGTCTGTCTGTCTGTGCATGCTGAACTCGCTCGCTTTGATATCATGCTTGTATTGTTTGTATGCTTCAGATGAAAACGACTGCCTGTGATCAACGCCATCAATGCCTGCTTACACAAACTGCATGGCCGTCACAATCGTCACGACGGCAAGTGCCAGCATCGAGGATGCAGAGAACGAGAACCCAGACGATGCAACCGTTGCTTCGTACACGCCGTCGGTCGTGGTGGCCGCAGTTCTGTCAGCAACAGGCGAGTCGGCCGCATTCGGGGTCGTGTATCCGTACGACACGCCAAGCACCTGCTCAACCGCCTTGTTGGCCTCGCTGAACACGCCCTTCTCGGCAACCTCGTCGGTGACTCCCGTCTGGTACGTGTTCGTCTCAACGTTGTACTGCACACGCTTGGTGAGATCCGTCGAGCAGTCCACGCCGCCCCATCCCGGGTTGCACGCGCAGCCAAAGCCGGCACACGTGCCGTGGCCAGAGCACTGGTTGATGCACGTGTTGTTGCCAAAGCCGCACTTCTTCTGGATCGTCTCGGCCTGCTTGATGGTCTCTGGCTTGGCATCGCGCTTCATGTACGTCGTCTGCGTGTGGCACTGGGCGAGGTACGCCGTCTTGGCTCCCTCCGTGAACGAGTACGAGCCGGTCGCCTTGGCGTCGAGGATGCAAGCCTTGATGTAGAACGACGGGTCGACAATCGACGCACAGCCAGGGATGTTGAACAGGCTCTTGCAGTGGGACTCGCACTCGGCCTCAAAGACGGCAGGCGGCGATGGACGCGTGTATGCAGCCTGCGTCGTTGTGGACACGGGAACCGTGACGACAGTCGTCGTGGTGGCAAGCACGGGGATCGTCAGAGTGGCCGACACGGTCGTGGTGTGGGGCACAACCGTCGTCGTGGTCGACGCTGCAAGGACGCGCGTGGTGGCAGCAATCGTGGTCGTGGACGGCACAACGGTCGTCGTGGCAACCACAACGGTCGCGGTCGTGGACGCCACAATGGTCGTGGTCGTCGTGGTCATGGCTGCGGCAGTCGTGACCTTCTCGGCAACAGGCGGGACATACGGAGGCAGCACTGGCGGCGACGGCTTGGTCTCGGGAACGACGACAACCTTGGGGATCTCGGGAATCTTGCACTCGCCAATCGCAGTGGTTCCCTTGGACGGAGTGCCAGTGGTCCATGTGTTCTTGCTGTTGAACAGATCCTCGTCGGCAGCAACCTCCCAAGTCGCGATGAACGCGTCAATCTCCTTCTGCAGCTTCATGTCGCGCTGCTTGCCGCTTGCGTCGTAGAGAGTGCCGTTGGACTCGCCAGGCAGACGGTTGCACATGCCGCCAATCTTGGTGTAGCCGCCGGCCAGGTTGACCGTCACATCGAGACGCTTGAATGCATTCTTGGTGTGCGACACGGTGATGGTGGAGCCGCACGGCGCTGTGATGGTGTGCACGCCGTCATTGTCGCGCTCGGGAGGCGTGTAGCCAAGACCGTCCTTGTTGGGAGTGACCTGCGTCATCTCGTACTTGTCCTTCTTGTCGCCCTGCGCACCGCGGATGTCGTAGACCATGACAGACGAGCCGTAACGCACTGCCACGGCTCTGTTGCAGGTGACACCGTTGCCGCACGGCTCCTGGACAACCTGCACGTTCAGATCGGCCGACTTGACAAGGTGGTAGGTGCCCGATGGCTGCGACGAGTATGACAGACCGTCAAACGACTGGCGGGCGGAGTCGGGACGGCGACGATCGAGTCAGCAAGAGTGCACAGACAATGGCAGGCAGACAGGCGGTGCAAGGAAGGAAGAAGCGTGGCGCACCTTGAAGTGGGGATCGCCAATGCTCGAGCACACACCGCCGGCTGCTGGCTTGCGGCTGCATGGAAGAGCAGTCTCGGCATTGTGGTAGTCGTCGGCCTCTGCTGCTGCGCGCATGCGGATGCTGAGCGGGATGGTGCTGTTGCCGACGTTCTGGCCAAACACGGGAATGGGAGTGACGTTGATGGCCTTTGTGGTGTTCCAGTTGGACGGATCAAAGTGCACCAGGCAGTCCGAGAACGAGACGGACGGGTGCTCAAAGTACACGGTGACGGGTCCCTTGGGCTTGGACGTGAGCCTGAGGCTGAACGTGTTGGCCGTGGTGGCCAGGTCGTCGATGGACAGGACGGCCGGCTGCACATCGATCCATGCGGCGACGTCGGGCTTGGCCGCCAATGGGCTGGATGGGCTGGACTGCGGGACGGCAGACACAGCAGAGAGGGCAGACGCAGCGAGTGCGAGGACAATGGCGTGCATGGTGGCTGCTGTTGGGAATGTGCAGGACGCAGTCGATTGTTTTATGGACAGACGGGGGGGACCGCTGAGAGGACGCTGAGAGAGTGCTGGCTGATGGCTGGCAGCAAGCGGCGCGCACGATGGCTTTTGAAGGAAGCGCGTCGAGTGCCAGAACAGGCACTTGCAGCGAGCGCGCCACACGAGCGTTCCTGTGTCGCGAAACACGCACAGCACGGCACAACCCGGCACAGCACATTGCACAGCCTGGCTGATGCTGCATTTGGAATGGAGTGCGGACAAACAGAGCAAGTGCCACTGCATGCATTCTATTTGTGGATCGCTGCAGTCCAAGCAGCGTCAAGCAGCGTCCAGCAGTGCACACGTCAGACCGGCCGTGCGGCCACAAGGCGGTTGCGCAGACGGCCCAGACCCAGCGGGACCCATGAGAGCAGCCAGACGACCAGCACACCGGCGGCACCTGCAGCCACTCCGGCCAGGAACCCAGCCACGCCGTCCTGCTGTGCGCCGCCGACGGGATCCATCCACTTGCCGATGAATGCGTACGGATACGCCACCTGCGGACACGCTGCACGCACCGTCCACACCATGCACAGGTACGCGGCCACCACGGCTGCCGGCGGAGTGCGTGGCGAGGCTGCAGCGTCGTCTTGCACAGCACGAGATCGACCACTGCGACGACCAGGCTGCCTGTGTGGCCGTTGATGAGCGACAGACGCTCGATGGTCGATGGCGCCGACCGCAGCGTTCCCGTCAGCAGCAGCCAGAACGCAACCACAACGGCCCACACGAGCGTGTGGCTTGCGGCAAACAGCCACGGCAGCAGCCGTCCAAGCCGAGATGCGCGCCGATCGTCGGGCTGCTGCGTGGCGGTCTTGGATCGCACGACATGGTGGCTGGCGAGCGTGGCAGCCTGTGCACACATGGGCCGGTCACAGCATGGTTGGTTGTGTGAGCATGCACACACAGCAGACTGAACACGGCTATGGCTTGGAGGGCGGCAGACACTCACCAGCAGGTACACGAGCAGCAGGATCCAGCTCCAGTTGGTCAGAAAGTGCAGATACGCCAGCTTGTTCTGCCCAAAGCGCCGCAGGACAAACGCCGCCGTGTAGACGAGCAGACACAGCCGCACACGGAGCAGCGTCTGTGGCGACACCAACAGCGAGTGCGAGTTGCATGCCAGCGGATCGTTGTCGGTATCAGCGTGCGAGAGCGAGTGCGAGTGCGAGAGCGAGTGCTTGTGATGGACGCCAGACTCGAGATCAGCCTTGGTGGTATTGCTGGGCAGTGTGTGCAGGCGAATGTCGCTTGATGCATGCGATGCCACATGTGATGCCACATGCGAGTCCAAGGACGCCGTTGAGATGGCAACGACGGTCGGCGAAGTGGGCGACACAGGCGACACAGGCGATGCAGGGGCAACCGACGCAGCAGACACTGGCGATCGGTTGTTGCTGCACTGGCTGATGCTGCTCTGGCTGATGCTGCGAGCGGCGTGCGGGTTGAGCTGAGCGGGTCTGTCTGCAGCGTGCATGGCTCGAGTCTGTACAGGAGAGGATGGCTGACGAGGAGTGTGGGCGGTGGCTGCATCCTTTTGAATGCGTGCGTGCAGCGCAGCGGCAGCCGTGCACCAGCGGCACGAGCGCAGCAGGCAACTTTGCCGACACTCAAAGCCGAGAGATGAGCCGATCGATCGTGCAACACACACTGAACGAGAAGCAGGCTGCTGGGTCCTGTGCCTGCGATCACAGGTACCAACCCGCAGCGATGGCAAGCATCGGTGGCTGGCTCGCAACAGTCGGCCCTCCCAAGAGCACCGCGGCCACGTGAAAGTCAAAGGCTGCTGCCAGTCACAGTCAAACACACTGCGGCTGAATGCACCACTGTTCACCGCTGAATGGCTTGTGGGCGATTGGCGACTGGCGACTGCGGCTGCAAGGCAGCGTTGTCTGTGGAGCACAGGCACGGATCGTACCAGCAGCGACACTGCGAGCAACGAGTCAATGGTGGATACGTTCATTCTGGATGGATGCAAGGGCAGGCTCGTGCGACTCGGACACGCGAGATGCGCTCGTCCGGCCGCTACAAGTCAAGGCACGATCGCGCAGCCAGTGCACGAGCCACACCCATCCAAACACGATCGATCCAGCAACAGCGCCAGCGAGGATGCCAATGGCCGTGTACACGGGCACACGCACACATCAAAGAACTGCTCGAGGAAGAAGTAGGGCCATTCGACGCCAAAGGCGTACTGAAGGACCCAGACCCATCCGAGGTAGAGAGCCAGACACGCCAGCACAGGCACAAGGTTGATGGCAGTCACGCGCATGCGGTTGAGGCCGAGATCCATGAGGAGGAAGACGAGCCCTAACGAGTGCTCAATGACGACCGAGGCGACTTTGATCCGAGTGAATACCGGGTTGGTAAAGTCTTCCATCAGGATGAGCCAGTACACCGGCGGCACGATCCAGTTGAAGACATGTGCGGCTGCGTACAGCTGTTGGTGCACGACAACAAACAGCCTTGATGGCCGCCGTTTGTATTTCCGATGGTCGAGCAGAGCAGTGTTGTCGAGTGCGGCAGATTCATCCTGAGAGGGCATAGACGATGAC